CTAAAATATCTTGAACAATATAGATATAATTAAATAAATAGTCATTTTCATAATTTAATAAAAAATTGAATAAGACTTTCAGACAAAGTGGTGTGCCTCAACTCGTGTAATTCTCATGTATATACACTCGTCACATAAGTGTATCACTCTTCACTTGTCAACTACTCAGTGGCGCAGCCACGTGATTTGCAAGCTCTTGGAACAAAATGATCTTGTTTCTTGATTAGTTATTACTCATCAATCATTAGGGGTAAGTTTGTTTGGTAGAGAATCAATACGGTATAATATCGTTATACCACGGTATTTGAAACCATTACCGTTAGCGTACCAAAAATCCGAAATAAATCGGTAGAATATCATGCCGCACCGAAAATGACGGTACGGTAAATGCCTTATACCAATTTTCGGCTATTTTTGCCCACACCTCCCTATATACGTTGCACCCGCATCTTCTTAGCTAGACCTGTCAATGGGTCGGGTCTACACCCGGACCCGACCCAGACCCGGTTATTTTTAACGGGTATGAGTCTATATTTTATTCCGTTTACCCAGACCCGGATCCGGACCCGTTAGTATATTTAATAAACGGGTCGGGTACGGTACATATGATTCCGACCCGTTAAGGATCCGGACCCGTTTTAAATTTCTTATTTGTATACAAAACACTAATACATAAAGTGATTAATTATAACACTTCAAGTAAAAAATTACAAACTAATGTATACACACGCATATATATACAGTACATTATAATACATAAAATATTAGTTGTAATGTTTGGTAGATTGGCAATACACTTTCTTTTTTGCTTTGAATCTTCTACATGCTTTCTCCCTTTTCTCGCCCAAAACAAACATTATTGTCTTAATATCTCTGTTTTTTAGTTTGTTTAACTACCGGTTCTGATTGAACAACAATGGTGTCAATTTCAAGTTCATCTTTGTGTGTGAAATCCCATTGTTATTGTGGACGACTTCTCTTTCATTCTCCCCACACAAAGAGAAAACAATGAATCCCGAGGAAGGTAACCCGCTGGAGTGTTAGAACCAGCCACCAGGGAGAGCGAGATGGGTGACATAGCAGGAAAATGTATACTAGCCAAAATGTATCTCTAAAAATATGCTTACTTTTAATGCCTACAAACTGTTTGTCAAAACGTTTGTAACATAGTTCTCAACTTTTTTGCAACAAGCTTCCTCAAACTCATTAGTAACCAGGGCCGATCCTAAGATTTTTTTGGTCTGCGTCGAACGGTATAAAAAGACCCTTAAGCACCATAAAAAATAAACAAAAAAATTATGGGTATTGATAAATATAACTAGAAGAATCATAAGCAAAAATTAATTGATTATTATTAAACAAAAATGTATGAGTTAAATAAATGTTTGGATGATGATGACTTGATGATGAATGTTGAATCGTATGGTCTCAAAACAAATAAATAGCACTTTCCCTAAACTCTGAAGACAACGACGATTTCAGAATTTAGAACACAAAATTGACATTTAAAAACACAATTACATTAAATAACAATTATACATACCTGGGATGCTATGGAGTTTTGGGCTGAACTTCTATGCTTCTAGCCTTCAAAGATTGATGTTGGAAGCTTGGATTTCAAACCTGGGAACTCAGAAGTTGCAAACGAGAGAGCAGGGCCGCAGATGCAAGGGTCGGTGATCGGTCGAGAGCTTCTAATCAAAGGAAATCCAAATTGGGCCTATTATGCTATGGGTATATATGTAGAGGGAGTTAACAAATTTATGGGCCCTACTTTTTCCGCAAAATTATGGGCCTGAGGCGGTTGCCTCTTTGCCTCTACTATAGGTTCGGCCCTGTTAGTAACAGTCTAGTTCTTAACGGTTGTCAATTATTTATGAGGAGTCATGAATTCCGGTTTACTTATGTCTTTCTGTTTGTAGAATTCTATGTTTAGGCTTTTGGATCTTGGAGTTGTTAATTGCTAGAGGTAAAAAAAGGCATTAGGTGTTTGCTAAATTGTCTAAATGAGATTTAGCACACCAATTTATGGATGCTTTGATCATTGCCTTATTGTCTATGCCCCATATTCATGATTATAGAAAATGTTAGTTTTTCTTCTTCTTTTATTTCAAGTAGAAGTTATTGTTATTTTTTTCAATTAGAGATAAGGAGAAAAATATAGATTGCAAGGTTTTACCTCAGCGGCTCAGTCATGGACCTTTTTATAGCTAAATTTGAGGTGTGTTGTTTTGCGCTAAGAAAAGAAAAGAATGCCACTGACCCCTGCAATTAGACCGGATGAAGGTTTTGATGGTAACAGTAGAGAAAATCAATAACAAATGCAGGAGAAGAGTACATGTTTAGAGAACTCTTTTTCCCAATATGTTTACTAAGTTTGCCATGAAGCACCTGGAGGGCTGTGCGTTATCTTCCCTTTCATATAAGCATGCAGCCCTAAAGACAGTAACGACGGTATGGTTTGAAACCAGTTCGTCCGTTGCTCCCACTAAGCCCAAAATCGCTCCCACTAAGCCCAAAATCATAAAATAGAGGAAAATATGAGCCACACAATACATTTTGTCGCCGCTAAATTTTGTTCAAAGTTCTGAACCTGTAACTGCCACTATGCGCATGAAGACACTTTGCGCATGACTGTTCATTTCACTTGGCACATTTGGTTCAGGATCACGCATGCCTTTTGCGCATCAGGTTTTCGCATTAGGCTATGTGCATCGTTCCTGTTCGTCGTTCTCGTGGATTGAGCACAAGAAGAAGATGATAACCTTGAGAATGGAAAAGCTTAGTTCATCGAAGGGAGTTTTTGAGAGTGATGAGCGAAGTAAGAAAAGGGGAGGCGATGCGCGAAGTGATGGCTTTATATAGGAGAAAAATCATTCAAAATGTGAAACAGCCAGAAAATCCTCCCGCTCCCACTCAACTGATGCACTGCCCTTTTCATGTTGACCCCCCCCCCCCAAATTTATGCATGAAAAAAAGATGAAAAGAAAAAGAAAATAAATTAAAAAAATTAAAATGAAATAAAATTGAAAATAATTCACTTTTCATGGTAACAGACAATTATCCGAAAAGAATTGTATGTGTACAGACAAGAAAAATGAACACCTAACACAACGTGTACAAAGAGACTTATTCAAATAGAAACGATTCAAACTATTTTTGCCTCTTAGTAGAATCATACCCTTGTGGTACATTTATATACAGAGTATATAAATGATCAACTAAAACTAAGCATGAATATTATCAAGTACCATGATCATACGAATGTTACATTAAAAAACAGTGCAATTTGTTATCTAGTTATGTGGATTTCCAATAACTCCCAAGTCGGTATGTAGTGGTCCATATTGAGTATAGTGTAAAACTCCCTTCCCCTCGTATATATACATGACTATATGTGATTATGTGAATGAATGATGAACTTTTGAGCCTTATTCATAATACATTATCAGCACGCACTACTCTTCGTTCTGGAGTAACCCTATCTTTTCAACACTATGATGAATCTCCCGTTGTGAACTCATCGGTTTCCGTGCAGTCTAGTTTTTCAATTAAGCCGCCAACTCTTCGGCATGATCAAATGTTCGAAAGCCATTGGCAATCAGACGTTTTATCCCTTAAGCTGATCGATCCGAAATTTCATTTTGAAATAGGATTCCTTTAGCGTTGCCGCCTTATGCATCTTCAGAAACATCGCTCCTATGACAACATTTTATGGTAGAAGCAAATATAAGTATTTAGATACGTTCTAATTTGGGTTAATGTATACGGCAGAAGCAAAGATAAGTATTTAGTTACTTTCTAATTTGGGTTAATGTATAGGGAGTATGATTATATTTTTACATCATCACATGCATTGTTTTCTTAACATATACCATACGTTTTCGATTTCACTTTGAAACCAAACATTATATCATATACGAAGTATATCAAATTATTGTTGAAAAAATAGAAGTTTTTTTTTAGAATAACATAATTGAACCGAACAATTGTTTTGTAAAAATCTTGTTCTGACGATTGAGATTTATCTGCGTTAGTGAATAAATAATAACAATCATAATTGTAATACATACGGGGTAATATACTAGAGGATATTCCTCGGATACATTACAATTGAGGCCTTAACTTTTGGGTTAATTTGAATTTGCACCCCATATTATTATCTAAATTGGACTTTGCACCCCGTTTTTAAACCGCCTTGTTTTTGTACCTCCAACCCCATATGAAAAGACCAAAATGCCCTCAATCAGGAACTCTGTTCTAAAAATCGTTCTAGGCGCCCGACTAGTCCCCGCCTAGGCACTAGGCGGTGGTCGGGCGCCCCGATTTTCGTCTAGGCGCTCCGACTAATTGGATGGCCGTCTAGGTGAATTAGTCGGCCGCTTATGGCACCTAGTTGCCCACCCAGAGCGCCTAATCGGCCGCCTAGACCGTCTAGATTCGTCGAACATTACTTTACTTTTCAATTTTAATTTTCTAAGCGATATAAGTACTTCAACTTTAGCCACAAATATAAAGAAATGAAGTTGTGAATTAAAATAAAGACTATATATGTTTGTATATATACCTAAATAAATTTTATTATTATTTATATTTATAACATAATGAAGTGAAGTGTTTATGATTAAATGTGATAATTCTATCATTCATGTTGGTTAATGTATGTGTATATGTGTATTTTATTCACACTAGAATACAATATTACTTATTATATTTATGCAAAAATATAGATAAAATGCAATTTCTATGTTTCGACTAGTCCCCGCCTAGGCGCCCGCCTAGCCGCCTAGGCGCTAGGCGCTGGGCTGGCGCCCGACTAGCGCCTAGCGCCTTTTAGAACATTGATCAGGAATATGTTAAAGGTTAATAAAATTGTTAATGGAGGGGCATTTTTATCTTTTCATGAAATTTGGTCCGGTACCGATTCTGGTCTGGGTACTCGGACGGTTTTCAAGTCGGGTCAGGTCGGGCGGGTCACGGGTCAATTCCCACCCTTCATTTAATTTTTTAGAAGATGCAATGACTAAAAGTGTCTAATCACAAAAAATCAATCAAGCAGGGCGCTTTAGGATACCCTGTTAAAGCATGACATCCCAACGGCCATCATACAATAATCAATCATCAAAGCTTGCGAACCATAAGCAGATATGTTAACAAACGGTATTATCCTTTCTTGTCATAAGCAGATATGTTTTGGGGTTCACATTCTGGACTAAATAGGCGAACCAGAAATGCAGTGGTACAACTCATAGAGACTGCTCCACACGCTGCCCATCTAAGACTTCGGGGAACATTGACTCTTGGACCTGCAGTAACATGAACAGTATAAATCACATTTCTTGGACATGTTATACAGCAATGCAAAATCACGGTTTAATGATTTCCAAGCATGTCTGTAAAAGCAACAAAACAGAATAAGTTAACTGGTAGCATACAATTTTTTTTGGCATTGTTTTCTTATCAGGGATTCCACCAAAACACTAATCAACACTTCCATAGAAAATGCTACTAAAAGCAGCGTTCTAGTTCAGTCTCCAGAAGTGCTAAAAAATTGAACGCCATCCGGAGTTCTGGACAGAAAGAGGAGTTGTCTAAAAAGTTCTCATTTGTCCAAAAAAGTCCAGTTCCACAAGTTAATTTGTGGTGTCAGTTTCCTAAAGAAAAGACAGTTACAAACAAGTTCAATATGATACATTTAGTTACAGGAAATCATTTTTTTTGAAAGATAAAAGTGGTATAGGATTTGTACCTTTCTCGGAATAATGTTGTAACTTGATCATCGTGGGGGGAAGGGGGTTTACCAAATTACAACTACAAGTTAAATGTGTTTCAGAAGAGAAAAAAATAGCTGCCCCCCACCCGGATGTACATTTTTTCTCATCTTCCACATTAAGTACATCTCCGGGATAGTTGGTGCAGAGGCATATAAATTATAAGTACAGCATATGAGGGGGTGGACAAAGATCTAAGCTGACTTGAACAAAGACAATTAGACGAGAGCTCAGGATGTTCTTTCATGACACTATTGAACCACATCACTTTGGCAGCATGTTCAAACCAGATACATTATCTTTATCATAAAATTCTTAATAAACAAAAGAAGAAAAAGGAATCAGAAGCAAAATTGGAGTTGGAGTTAGAGAAGCTGCAACTACTGTGAGAGTCTGGGAGAGAGACTCAAAGTGTGTTTAACAGAACTAGAAATTAAAGTCCTGCCCTATGTACTTGTATACCTACCAGGAAATTAATACATAAATATAATGCAATGACAAATTATCGGTTTGGTTTAATAAAGGCTACTGGCTACCCAAGTACCTAACAATAAAGGAATATCACTAATACCTACATATCATTAGCATGTCTTTAACAGCACTTTACTACAGCATGTTCAATACAAAGAAGTGCAGAACAATTATCTAAATATGTGTCCATACATGCACAAAAAGGTCAGTGGACTTCCAAAACGCTCAATCATCATCCCTGTTACAACCAAGTAAAGAAATCATAGCACAACTTTAACTTTGAGGCATGGCTTTCCTTCAATTCTGATTTTTTATTTTCCAGCAAATAAAACATCTATAGATCCAAGATACGTAGTAAGAATTAAGAACAAGAAACTTGAAGACCAAATGCAATTTTTTATTTTTTACCACGTATTTTTTGAAAGAGTAAAAGACAGACCGTAGTGCAAACGACACAACACCCAAAAGCCTAATGCTCCTCCAAATGAGAAGATTCCAGCAGTATGTCTCATCAATCTGGAACATGGCTTACAATCTGATCTCATCACCTCCCCATCAGAAAATCCACACAACTGTCTCAAAGCCATGCTTGAGTTCACTTCAAGTCCGTCCCGTCTTTCAAATTTTCTACAAGACACCCACACAGCAAATTAGTAAAAACTGTCACATAGATGAATGAATATAAATATGTTTCAATACATTAACAAAAAGTATCACGATAGTATTGTTGTATAATTGTATTCAATATTTGATTACACAAGATATACTGAGAAAGTTAGAATAATTCATAGCGGAAGAAAATGCAGTAATTCATATTTCTTCTAGCCTGACGTGAGAATTCCATCAAGCAGCTTAACAGCACAAACTGAAAGAAATCTAGCTGAACACCTACCACACTCCAGACTCCAAAGGTGCAAGCAAAATGGGAAAAGAGAAGCTATTTAGATTTTGTAGTGGTCATAAACAGGATTTCATTTTGCATTTGGTTACCTGCCTTTTAGTGAATCTTGATTTAACTCGCAATGTGAATCTCTGGGTTTTCAAAATTTCTTGTTTCTTTGGATCCCCCATTTAAGAAAGAGTTTGAGGATTTCACAAGAGAGCTAGCCCATAAATTAGATATGGCCCATTATGGGTGAGTCCCATAAGTAAGAGCGACTCCTCAATAAATAAAGAGAAAACTGTCAAGTAGGTTCTCGAACTTTCATAAAAAGGTCAAATAAGTTCTTATATAGGAGGCTCTGTCCGGCCGTCACGATTTGGGGCGGTTCCCGGTGGAATTTTTTGATGAATTTTTTTTAGCATCTTATTTATCAAATCTAGTTTACTCATACCAAATTGCAACAAAAACTTCAATCGAGAACACATTCAAATTAATTCTAGAAGATAACTGTGAAGTTGACAATCATGTATGCTAATACACTATTTTTCAGGCCTTCAATATTACGTCCTAATGTAGTAATGTGGGAGGTTTAAAAAGTGGGATATATTTTAAAATTTATACTGAGTAACAATTAGCCTATTTTCTGGTTACTTTATTCTGTCATTGTGTATTAGAGAACTTACACTTAACATCATTAGGATCACTTTGGTTGGTTTTTACACACCCACATTGTATACTTTTCAGTTTTAGCAATTTATACTTCAGAAGTGCTTACACAAACATAGGGGTTTGTTTGAAAATGAAAAGCAAAATGATTGGAAAGATAACACTAATTAATTAAAAGTTAAAACAAAAAGCTAACAGTCAGTTAGAATAAGATAGATAGTTCGATTATTAGATTCTTTGGTTAAATCTCTGTTAAATACATGCATGCAATTCTTCTTCTTTTTCTTTTTTATTATTTAAATACAAATTACTTTTTACTAATGTCTATAATGTATTTCCTTTCATTATTCAGTGATTTATGCTCATTTTATGCTATTTCTTTTCATACCAGGTCAATCAAAAGACTGATAAGATGCATCTATTCAAAAGATGTTCTGATTTTGCTTTGTTATTCCGGTGATTTAGGTTCGAAATGTGCTCCTTTCATGAGTATTTATATCAAGATTTGTCTTTTTTTTTCTTTGCCTCATTGCAGGTCATGCCTATTAGTGTTCTTGTTTTAGAAAATTCTAAAGACAAAGAATTTTTCTTGGTTCCAGATAGTGAGGTAAAGGTTTAGCTAATCTTTTCTTATTTTTTCTTTATCATATTAGGTGTTCATTTGTGTTAGACATAATGTGTTCATCTCTTATTGAGCACCTATTTTTTAAACTGACACAATCATGAGTTAATCCATTTTCTTAAATGCAAATATTTTGCTTCTGCACTATTCTCTCAATGAATAATAGATTGCCTCCTGCTATTCCTTGTTTTCACGGTTTTGCATGCTTTGTTCTCTTATTTATGCATTTTCAAGTATAAATTTGAAATTTAAGTATAGTTTTCAAAATATAAACTGGCTTTTAATTGATATAAAAGCATGTCCGAAATATCTTCTTGGTGTTCTTGATCTTTATCGTTGGAATGCTAACACTATTTATCCTTGTAGTTTATCAAATTTTATAAAACATCCAGTTTGACCTTTTTACCCCCCCTACCCCCTAAATTTGATGTCATTCCAAATGTTCCATATTTTATCTTTTTAACATCCAGTATTTGTTCATATGTAGAGGAGCTCTGTTTGAGATGTCCCCTGCATTTGAAATGATCAATTTCCCTATAATTGAATTTAGATGATTTAGGCATTGAATTATTGGAGAATATGGTCTCTGTATAATGCTCTATTTTATGTTTTTTCACAAGTATTTACCTTGTTCAGCCCGTGCTGCTTGTTATGCTGCTTGTTAGTGTAATGTTTAAGTGTAGTATACCGATGTTGATGAAGTTTAGTTAAAAAAACATATGTGGTGTATCCATCATAGTTACAAGTGTGTATGCACATATCATATTTCATCTCTCATTCTTATGCGGTGTTCCAAATTAGTATCAATTTCTCCGACATGTGCTTTTTCTTCATCTATTTCTATACTTGTTAACTCTTTCTTAACGTGATTTTGTTTTTACAATTGTATTTTCTTCTTCCATGAGGAGTGTCTTGCATTTTTTTGGGGTAGTGGGGCTGGTTCTTGTAGTTTTTTGTTCCCATCATGTTAGTGATATTTCCTAGAGATGGGTGTAGTGGAACTAACTCTTGCAATTTTTTCCATTAATTGTAGCGACAATCTCTTTTGCTTGGTTGTGAAAGGGGGCTTGTGATCTAAACTCAATGGGGGTGGTGTTTAGTTTGAATCAAATAATCATAGATCACATATTTTAGAGATTATGAAATTATGTAATTCAAATTTATTTTTTGTTTTGTTTTCTTCTTCCTGTGTTTTTCAGATAAAAGCTGGCAACAAAAAAGAGGCAAAATGATGCCCTATTGATGCATGTCAACTAATATCACATGGAGCTTATTAAGTCCTAGAAATTTTCTATGGATATTTGGATTGTAGACGTATCATAGTCTTGTATCATGTGGAGGTGTACATTAAATTATTGGCATTAACTCTTTGAATATCTTGTACAAGTATATCAATTTGAGTAATAAATGAAAATGTTGGTCTTGATAACTTGTTAAGAATGTCTGTTCAAAACGCAGGATGAGATGATTTATTCTTGTAATTACTTATATTTCTATGAGAAGTGCTGAATGTGCTATGTATATACGATACACATGACCAGACATTTCACGTCTCGCTCACAAACAATTTAACTATGCACTATAATCCATTCCAGTTATTATTGTCTGTGACCATACACTTCATGTCTTGTCCACAGACAATTTGACTTGGCTTATTAGCCCGTTCCAGTGACTCTTGTGTGACCGGACAATGCATGTCTGGTTCACAGACAACTTCACTTACCCAATTAGTTCGTTCAAGACTTCAAGAGACTATTGACGGTTACCAGATAATTCATATCTGGTTCACAAACAATTTCACTTTGCACATTAACCCGTTCCAGACTTCCAGTGACTATTGTCTGTGATTAGACAATCCATTTGTGTTCCACTAACTTTACACATTAGCACGTTTCAGTGATTATTGCATGTGACCAAACACTTAGTGTATGGTTCTCAAACAATTTCACTTAACCCATTAATCCGTTGCAATGGCAATTGTTTGTGACCAGACAAATTGCGTGTCTCATAAACACTTTCACTTTCCACATTAACACGTTCCAGTGACTATTTCCTGTGACTAGACACTTCATGTCCGGTGAACTAGACACTTCACTTAGCACAATAGATCATTGGAGTGGCTATTGCGTGTGACCAGAAAACTAATGTCTAGTTCACAGACAATATCATTTAGCACAATAGGTCATTCTAGTAACTATTGTCTCTGACCAGATATTTAATTTCTTATTCACAAACAATTGCAATTAGCACATTACGCCATTCAAGTGACTATTGTCTGTGATCGACCACCTAATGTCTGGTTCACGAACAATATCATTTAGCACTCAAGGTCATTTCAGTAGCTATTATCTGTGACCAGACATCAATGTCTTGTTGACAGACAATTTCACATTGTGCACAACATGTTACAACTGAAAAATTTATACATCTCGACTTACTTGGGTATTTAAACTTTTATTTGAAAATACAAACTTGTAATAAACACATCTTACTAGTGCACAACATGTGGAAGGGAGTTTAATTTAGCTATAGTGATGATATTTGTTACATAAAGAAACTTATATATGCCACATTTAAACCAATTCAAAATACTTCAAACATAAATAAAGTGACAATGCATGAAATAAGTCATTCCTCTAGCTCCCCCTTCTGTGCAGTCACTTCAATCCTGAATGAGTTGTTTGAGTAGAAGTCAGAATCACATTCTCCTCTTGAACCAAATTCTGCATTTTCCTAACAGTTTTCATAACACTCTGACCTTCAAAGTTTCTTCTTTCACACCCCACAACTTTATTTTTGCTTAAACTGCTCAATAAGATGCAAAAGTAAAAGCAAGACTCAAGCATGAAAGTAAGACAAAAAATCACCACATAATTAAAAACTGCCGTTAATTGACTAAAAGAAACAAACAAGAAAAACATGCACCATTTGTCACAAGAACGAGAGTTGGCTAGGAGCATACGAATTCGACGAATCAACTGTAACTTGTAACATGAGACCAAAATAGAAGCCCATAAACCCATATTTGGCATTGACTATTCAAAATTCCACAAACAACAAAAGCAAGCGTATTCTACAAAAAAAAAGATCACTATACAACCTAACAATAAAAAGCAGTCAAATAACACGCACCAAACAACCTTTAAGTTAATCAAAGTCTACTATTTAGCCTGATTATTCTACTATAAGTAAGATAAAGAGAATGAGTCTATCAGTGTTCTAAGTGAGACCCTAATATAAAACTAATGGTGCTCTCTACTGCATACCTATGATAAGTAAGATAAAGAGAATGAGTCTATCAGTGTTCCAAGTGAGACCCTAATAAAAAACTAATGGTGCTCTCTACTGCATACTTACGAACATTCCAAACTAAAATTAAAAATAATCAAATAAATTAGTCATTCAAAAATTATAGTACATTTTATGGAATAAAAGAGTCAACTATTTAATAAAAAAAGGCTCTTTCATTTAAAAAAAAATAGAATATGAAACCTATTAAACACCAAAGTGCATTTACAAATTAAAAATAGGAGGAAAAAATATTGAATATGAACAAAAGATCACTTAGTCATTTCAACAAACACCTTTCGGGCAAAAACAAGCTAGAGTATTTACACTAAGATTTCAATAATTAACTCCTCATATATCTTACAATAAAACAAAACAATCAATTTTTCACTGTTAAAACATACTATCCTCCGTTCTATAATTCTTGCAACAGTTTGACTTTCACGTTTGCCAATGCACAACTTTGACTGTAATTATATTTAATTATGTATTAGTAAACATTATAAAAAGTTGATATTTTGGAAATTCACATTGATAAGAGTTCAATAACATTTTATACGTAATAATTTGATTAAGTATATTAGTAGAAAATCATGGTCAAAGTAAGATATGTGAATAGTGTAAAAATCATAATGTTGCAAGAATTATAGAACGGAGGAAGTATATAATACTCATGAAACTAGGAAGAGTATATAAAAAACTCTAAAATGCATATGAAATATGGGAATAAATATTTAAGATTAAGTTGGGAGAAGGATTGAAATTGATGTATATGATGTTTAATCAATCATTCAAGGTTATAACATACACAATATACATAAAATCGGGAAATATATATATATATATATATATATATATATATATATATATATATATATATATATATATATATAGGATCATGTGAGAACTTAATCTTAGGAGAAGAAAAAAGAATGAATCATAGCCATTAGATCATCACTTTTTTTCAATGGAACGTGTACGCACTTATAAGGTCCTTTGGTCATTTTATAAATATTTCTATATTTAACACTACGTATCAATCAATGCAATTAATGCCACATCTTTATTATGAGATAATTGACTTACGTGTGTAATTGAATTATGTGTGCGTGTGTTTCTATATTGATATCTTCTTTCTTTTGATAAGGTTTATCATATTACTTTTAATTAATCTTTTTTTAGCAAACTTTTAATTAATCATTATTTATTTTTCTATGTTCTATTTAATTGTTTTTTATTTTTCACCATGTCTTCAGTTTAGTATATTATTCTATGCACTTTGATAACTTGTGTGTATGTCAATTGTATTGTATTTTATTTTGCCAAAAAATGTATAGTTTATTCATATTCATGATATTTTACACGCAACTTTTAAATTCATTTATTGTTATTGAATTAGGATTCTTTGATATTTTAATTGCTTTGTGTTGAAGTACGATGCTGTTTTTTTATATACCAATTTTTAGTGCATAATAGGGAAGTGCATATATATTGACTTCCAAAGTAGAAATAATGCACCTTATTTGAGAAAGTTTTATATAATAACACACTTTTGAATATATTTAAGATGCACGTCATAAAAGTGCATTTGACTTTAAATAATAGTGCTAGAGTAATTCTAAAAGTACGATGTAATAATAGTGCACATGATATATATTTAAAGTGCTCTTATTAGTTAAAAGTTTGTACTGTTATTATTTGTTCAAAGCATTTGAGTGTGCACAACCTTTATGTATGAGTGTGCACAACTCTTATAGGTAGAAGTTTATAAATAAAGTGTAACATAATGCGTATAAAGTGCAAACTAATGGCATACATGTATCAATATAAAATTTTAAAAGTGTCACTAATAATGCACTACTGCATATATTTAAATGCACATTATAGTAGATAGTTTGCATATATCCTTGTATATTTCTATAAATTTTTATTTTAAAATTATTTTTATTTTAAATCTATGAAAGTGCACAAATGTGTAGGTTAAGTGCAGGTTAATACTATTTTGAAAGAGAACTCAATAAGATAATTAAAATCAATTAAATTTGATCCTATTTTTTCACGGCATTAATTTAGAAACATTAGGTGCAACCTTCACCATCGGAAGTGCAAATTAATATGTTTAATTGTGCATCCACGCAATTGAGAAATTTCATATAATGCTTTGATTATATTGCATTTATGTACTCGGTATTATCTAAAAAAACGTAACCTAAATAAGTCAACTATGTAAGGAAAAGAGTGGTCCGTATTAATAGATTGTCCAACATTTAATGCCTTGATCCTATTTATATGGAAATTTGAGTGGCCGTTGTTTATTATCCAAATTAATTGACCATGAGTTTTACACATCTACCCTTAGTGTTAAACGGTTTCTTTTATGATTATAAATAACCCTTCAAAGGTCATCTTAATTACCATGCTACCCAATTAATTTATATTCGATCTTAGCCTTCCGTTTGATATCTTTGATGGATAGATTTTGTTCTTTTTTGCTCTCCTAAGAGGGTGTTCTCACAGGAACTAACCCCTATATATATATATATATATATATATATATATATATATATATATATATATATATATATATATATATATATATATATATATAAGGCAAAACACACAAGAAAAATAGGAAATATAAATTACCTCATGGTTTGAGAAAAAGGGTCAACCATAGAGACGAATCGTGTATGCAAACTAAATGAGGAGAGTGATTCACATGATGTTGAAGTTAGAGAACTTGAAAACGGAAGGAAAAAAAGTGAAAGAAGAGAACCTAGAGCGCAGAGAAGAGAACGAGAGTGAAGAGGGATTAAGGGAAAAGAACGAGAGGATGGAGTAAAAGATAAAAATGAGATGGTAAAAAAATAAGGTATATATAGTGTGTACAAGTTGTGTACACTTTGTGTACCCCAAGCAAAATTGATGGATCTATTCATCACAACTCGCAAGGAGACATAACCGGCCATATCAGTAAAAAGCGCAATTATCTTCAAGAATTCATTTGAATGTCTTCCCGGTTGAATTTTTAGCTTAAATTTAGTATGAATAAACCAGACTTAATGAATAAGATGATCAAATAATTTCATCAAAACATTCCACCGAGAACTGCCCCAAATGGCGATGACCGGACAGAACCTCCTATATAAGGGCTTATTTCACCTTTTTAGGAAAAATCGACAAGAATAATCCCACCTTTCACTGGTCTTCTCATAATAATCCCACCTTTAAATAATCCCAAAATAATCTCACATTTGCACATCATCTTCTTTCATTGGACCTTGACCATGTTTTTTACTCTTTCTTTGAAAATTATACAAATAATCTCACCTTTCACTTTTTAATTATATCCTTATAAATGCGAGATTATTTATATAAGATTTTTAAAAAAGGTAAAAGACTTGGTCATGGTCCAATGAAAGAAGATGAGGTGCAAAGGTGAGATTATTTTGAGATTATTTAAAGGTGAGATTATTATGAGAAGACCATCAAAAGGTGGGATTATTCTTGTCAATTTTTCACCTTTTTATGGAAGCTCGAGTGTCTATTTGACCCTTTTCCCATGAATGAATGACTAAGTCATTATTGTCATTAAGTCTATTAATTCGAGAGTAAACAACTCATGAGTTTATTTTGCTTTTGCATCACATTATATATGATTCTGAAACCTTCCAGGCACGGCCGGGCCTAGGCCCGAACCGGAATGGGACCAGGCCCGGACCACCACTACATGTTTGTATTTTGGCGGATTCAGTCCTAAACGATGCAAAATGAAGCATTTTTTCTTTTGGAAGAAATGGTGTTTAGATTCTAAGACTCTATTGCCCAAACACACTCATTATAAACAAAAATAAAATTGTCCCGTGCGATGCACGGGTACAATACTAGTAAGAGTAAAACATAGACAAATTTATATTTTCAATTGTTTCAAGGCTGAATTAACTCTAATAAAAGAGTTGTTTTATTTTCAAAAAGTGAAAAAACATAGACAAGATTCTAAAATTGGATCAAATATGTTTCCCGCCAAACTTATTTAGTCCTATTACAATAATAAACATATATATAAACTTGTCTTAATAGAAGTCCATGCATCCTATTTTGGGAAGAAAGCAAGAGTACTTTCATTTGATAAATTTTGCTATGTTTTACCCCCGCAAAGGAATTTTTCTTTAAAAAATAAGGTTGTTTCATATGTTAACTAAGTTAGACCCAATGTTGAACTGAATTTGGCATCAGTTTTGTCTCTGGGCTATGCATGAAGACAAAATTGAGTAGTAACAATGCACAATTACAGAAGTCACAAGGTGTGTAATTGGGCTTCGTTTGGTTTTTGGCGTTTCAATTGATCCAGACACGCCATAAAGTGCTCATATAAAGGCATTAATTGAGGCTACACAAAGATTTTAGAGCAATAATTAAGGTAAATCATAATTCAGTGTAATGATGTATCATTTTGAAAGGCTTTTGTATCATCAGTAGTACATTTGCAAACTTGCTAACTAAACTGAATTGGTTAACACAATTACCTAAACACATCTGAAAGAGAGTTTGTGTAATTGTACACAGTAGATGCCACAGATGAGAAAGTCAGTCTGGGCCTTCTGCTAAAAATAATCTTGAAGCATAAAACATCCCCTCCCCCTCCTACTCCTCGTCACTTTCATTGCCAAAGGCTGATGCAATGGATACTTTCGGTTTCTTTGCCATGTTGCCGACCACGTTCTTCTACAATATCAGAAGCCATGGAATTATATATCTTCATTCATCAGCAAGTCATAAAAAACCTAATAGTGCAGATTCTTCCCATAATAATTTCAGAAAATCTCAGAGGGACATCTCAAACAAGAAAGGGTATTCAATTTTGATTCGATTCCAGGAAATCAATTTTTTTCACCTTAGAATGGCTGCCCTTTGCTGAAAACCCAAACTTCAATGCCTTCCTTTGATCTTGCTCAGCAAGGACAGTTGCTGTTCTCGCCGCATGGGAGGCCTGAATGGTCTCTTCTTGCTCCTGCTGCAGCTTCTTATTCGCACCAGCCCTAGTTAAATACAGAAATAATAGCATCAACATAAAAAATATGTGAGGGCCAACTTGGTAACTCCTATCTAGCTAAAACTACTTTGTTCACTAAATTTTCTAAATTGAAACACATCTGGTAGCATCCATTTCAGCATCAAAAGTAAGACAAAAGCAGGATAAGCAGAAAATACATACTCAAGCTCGGTAAGGCTTGAGTATGAAGAATAAAGTATTCATTATCCAAAAACAAATAATGAGAGAAAAAGGAAAAATTCCTGGAAGCTTAAGGAAGGGTAGAAAGTGAGGGTACATTTGAGCAAATTTTGCCATCTCTCTCTCTTGGCGTTGTTGCTCTCGTTTTTGTCTATCATCACGACTGCTACTTCCATGCATTTCTCTCATATCTTTGAAGCGCTGCATATAGGAATGTCAATAGATTTTTTTAGAGAGGAAGAAGGCTATGAAACAAATAAATAGCCTGTTTGGGATGACTTTTAATTAGAATCAGGAAAAGCCGTAAAAGTACTTTTGCCTAATTCCAGAAGTATTATTAGATGCTTTTATACTGAAATAAACACAAAGAATTCTACTGAACTCAAATGGTCCTTTTTAAAGTACTGGTATTAATTTGGGGAATTCGTTTTCAAAGTTACCCCAAACGGGAATAAACCAGATGTATGGAGGACAAATAAAAAAATCAAATCAACCACCGAACTACCTTTCTATGGTTGTGGTCGTATGAGCTAAGGTGAGCTTCAAATTCCATTGCCAATTTATATTGCTTGTTGCAAAGGTCACAAAAGAAAACCTTGTGTATTTCCTTCACCTCGGTTTGAATTTTCTGCTCCCGCTGAGCTAAAACCTGGATTTTCATAATGTGCAGGAAGCAAGGCAGTAGAAGCCACCAGGGTAATAAAAACTGCACGAAATTCTCAAGACCCTTCCAGAACTTGGTGTTCGGTATTTGATATACCATCCCCGTCAAAAGACACGCACATATATGCTATATGCTGCCTTCTGTTGTTAGATGTATGTTTCAGAAAAAGTAAAATATCAAACTCGATTTTTCTACCATGCCGCAACATATTTATTACCCTTACTTATGTTCTACAAAACCATACCTCCCGTTTCTTTGCAAGTTCTTCTGTCACCTCAAGCTCTATTTCAAGCTTTCTTCTCTGTATGTTTTCTTCTGATGTAAAGTAGTCATCTTCCTCTTGCTTTCCAATTCCTAATTTTGCATCTCGTATTCCAGACTTTATTGGCTCAATGATACCTTTAAACAAAAGTTTAAAAGTCAGAAGTTTCAAGTTTAAGTAGCACTTGAATTATGAAAAATGATATCTGTGACCCCAGGTCTTCGTTGAAGTATTAAAGATGAAAGAATATTTTATATAATCCTCAATAAACATTCAATTTTTTAGAGATCAATAGGACCTTTCAATGAACTAATTGTTGTTGGAGTGCAAAATATGAAGAATTGTTTTTCATGATTGGTTAATTTATGAAAATCAAGAAGAAAACTTTCCTCTCATTAATGCTTACATGTAACTCTGAGGGATGTGGTTAGCACGACTCTTGAGTTACACACCAACAAATTGAAATAAGAATATATACATTGGAATAAATTTGAAGGTGCATAAATTTAGTAATACTTTCCAGGTCGTACTGGGAACAAGTATACCTTGCTCATCTTTTCCAAGTCCCTTTCCTCTCCACCCCATTTTCTGGAGAAGCCTGAACCCGACATTGGCTGATGTCAATTGTTTATCTAATGATGCTTGCTCAACATTTTCTAGATCCAAATTTTCAGTTGGTCTATGCCCAATTGGTAGACAAAAGTCTTCCGTGAGGTCCTCGAGAATAGAATCATTATCATCCTATGTGAAGAAAAGTAGTGTTCAATGGTATGAAGATAATAGTGGCAATACTATTTGAGGCGAATTGCAAAACAGCTATGCAATTAAGTCAGAATTTGAACAGAAAAACATATCGCCATAATATAACTGAGACTGCCTAACCACAACTTATGTGTTGTGTCCCAGTCTGACACAATATTCAAAGGAATAAATTCCATTTTTGGTCCTACTAGTGTTGCATCAATTCCATAATTGGTCTATGTCTTTGACTTTGACCACTTTTGGTACATAACTATTGCTTTTCACCCATAGATGGTCCTTCTGTCAATATTTATGGCAATTAAAATTGCCAGAGGCATCAAAAAGTTGGACGGAAGGACCACGAATGGTCAAAAAACACAAGTCAAGTACCAAAAGTGGATAAAGTGAAAGACAAGGACCATATATGAAATTGACGTAAAACTCATAGGACCAAAAGTGGAATCGACTCATATTAAAAGTATAGCATACAGTTTCAGTAGAACCAGAAAGCAAAAAAGTTATTGTAGTAATTTTTATTTATCTAGTATTTTGTTTCATACAGCAAATCAAGGCCATTTTAATTAAGGAGATGAAAATAAGAATTAATGTAGTAAAGAGAAGTAGCATCAGCTAAGGTAAGATATACCATAATTGTAATTTGGTGTGCTTTTTATTTATCTAGTACTTTGTATAGCAAAACATGCCTGAAGGAGATTATTATAAAATATTGAACAAAAGTAATACCAGCTAAGGCAATCTATGCCATATTGAAAATTCTAGAAAGAAAAACTGAGAAAATATCAATGCTCCCACCTACGGTAGGGTAAGGGGGGTTGGATGTACGCAGTCTTACCCCTGTATGCAATCTATTATGAGCATGCAAATTTGAAATGAAATTGAATAACTTAAATTAGGAATTCAGAAAGA